CCAGGTGTTTATAGCTGTTTATAGCACCTCAAACCCCTTACCATACTACTAACAGGACCAAAAAAATGACAAATGATAAAATTGCCTACTTGAAAATGCATATGATAAAACAAACTTGGACATTTTAAGTGATAATTTTGGTCTGTAAAACAAAGTTACTTGACAAAGTTATTGCCTGTTTCTAAGCAGAACCAGACTCTTCCTAGAGTATCAAGTTAGAAAATTATGTAAGCACAGAGAGCACATATGATCTATCACCACAGTGTAAAGATTCCACTTCTCTGTTCCCAGTTAGCTGATTTCTCCCTGAAATCAATGAAGAGGTGAAAAGACATGGATAGTATCTCAGACGCTTGAAGTCAATTCTCTTGTACAGATCAGAATTTTGGCCAGAAAGTTAATTTCTTCTTGGAGGTAGGCTTCTCACATAATTTCTCTTTTGATGTCAATTTTTCAGCCTTCTCTTCGTTATCAATTAATGCACCTTCTGATTCTTGATGACATGCAAGCCCTCACATGCCGAATATAACAGCCTCCTCTAAGGAGAACAAGAAATGAGGAAACAAATGGAGGCAAGCATACGAAAAATCCCAAATGTTTTATGTCTTCTAAGCTTCCTGACAACTCCAAGGGAAAACCATGTAGGTGTTTAAGAGAAATAAAATGGACTTATATTTACTTTCTATCAGAAGCACTAAAAGGGGGAGAGGGATTTTCCGCTCAAAACGAAGCAATAGGCACAATAGGAGATAAAGTGTAAAGCATCACTGTTCTTCCCCTTTATTTTCCTAGCACATCAGCAATAAGATAATCAGGGTTTGGCAAGGTATCTTCCTCTCTCCTGTGTTCTTCACAATTCACAAACTGGTTACAATTCTAATCCCGAATGTTCCAGTAAGACTTCCTATTTTTCTGCATTATGGCACTTTTACATCCCTCAAGTGCTTCTTCAAGCCCTGCAAGTGCAGAGGGAGCAGTACAGCATGTCACATATGGTGCAGAATGGCAACTAACTGGTGCAGGCCTTGAGGAACAGTGCAGGGAGAAAAAGCTGCTCTGAAAGGATGCCCTTGTGTGTCCTTACAGCATGAAAACAGTTGTTTAACATGTACATCTTAAAGGGCTGCATCAACCAAAAATACTGCATAAACTGAACGATGTGTATCAGTATTGTGCATCTATTCAGAAAGACAAAAGATTTAGTTAAATTGGGTAATTTCTGACTCTGTTGATCTTTGATGGGAATTTAGCTCAAAGTCAAAACTAGAGAAAATCTGGTATAACATTTGAGAAGCTGTCAAGAATCCCATTGTTTATTTTCAGCCCTATAATTTCTTTCAGCTCCAGTAAAAAGGTAAAGTTGCCTGCAAAATCTTTGTTCTCCAGAGCATTCTCAAAGTATGTGCTGCTATAAACAGACAGTCAAAACCTGCATTTATATCTGCTGTATTTTATTTTTTACCCTTGCAAGCCACCAGTATGTAGTGAAACTAAATATGCCAACTTCTATGTTGAATATGTGCTTTGTATGATACACAGTTTAAAAGACACTTAGTGTGGGACATACAGTGATGGGCAGTTATGGTATTTAAGCCATAAGTAATTTTCTAACTAAAGAGTATAGTAACAGTAGAGCCAGAAAAGTGCAGAAGGCTTTGTCATACACGAAATTCTCATCTGCTAAGATCATACCAATCCATAAAGGAAAAACAGAGCTTGTCACAGCCATAGTTATTGTAAATCCAGATGCTGCCTTCCCTTGAGATAGCAGAAAAATAGGCACTGTAAAAGATGGATGCACATGATGAAGGTTAAAATTCAAAAGCTCAAGACCAGTCCCAGGGCAATGAAAGGAGGGCCCAGTAATGAATAATATACATTCTGACAAATATAATTTAGCAATAAATGCTTCTGAATCTTTCTCTATGGCCTATACATGCCTCAGAGGAATTAAAAAAAAGTAAATCTAGGAAAGTATTTTCAGATACACTCCAACAATGTTTTACTGGCCTTTGTTTATTATAGTTTTGTTTCCAAATGTTTTAATTGAAAACCCTACCCTTTTCTTTTTTTGTAAATCAGTTCATTTCTCATATTTAAGCATGGTGCTAATATTTATTGCAGATAAACACAGAGCACATTTGCCCAAAAGAAAGACATTCAGATTTAAAAGCTCTGGCACAGGACAAGTTTGGGAGAATCAGAAGCTGTTTTCTCACCAAGCTACCAGCATTTGCCAAGTGCCAGCTATTAAGGGAAATCCTTGTTACTAGGCCTACATCAAAGCTCTTTTGATAAAGAACAGCTTTCACTTCAAGTAATCCATGTCACAGCAATTTTGTTATTTAATTCTACAGCACTACCTAGCATGTCAAAAACAGAGCTGAACTCATGTATGCCAAGAGATAGTCTGCTCTGCAAAGACCTAATTTTCTGCTGGTACACATTTTGTGTGCAGTGTAACTAGTGAAGCCTGGTTTCCTGGGGTGCCTGCTCACCATTTTGCAGGTTTGGGAAGTTCAGCATGAAGCTCTCCTACCACTTTGGATATAGAGAAAGAAGGTCATCTTTGTTTTCAGTGACACCTTCTTTTCATAAATACTGTATATTTACCCACAAGGTATTAGTAGTATTGATAAAGTGACATGAACTGTTCTGTTAGATCAGAACTGTACTCTGGACCTGTATCTGTCCAGCAGATATCAAGGACTTCTATTTCTGTACTGTACTTCTCTGCACTGCTATAGTACTCTTATAGACATTACCTTTAACATTTAAAATTTATTAAAAAGAAACTTTAAAGTTTCACATAGAAGTGAAATAAAATTTACAGAATGGTACTGTAAGTAGTTTATCATCCAATTAATGCTATCTGCTGCACAATGAAGGAGAAATCTGTGTTGTGTTTTGCCTGTTACATAGCCCTCTGAACATATTTTATCATACCACTCACATTACAGCTTGTCTGTGATGACAATATTTACCAGTTGAACAGGGAAAGAGTACCTCATCACAGTGGTATTTGACACCCTACACTGGATTACATCTTATTTTGCACTTAGTTCAAAAACTAGTTCAAGCTCTCATTTTTTTTTCTCTTTTTATCTCCCTACTGCAATAGCAGCTCTTATCATTGCAGATTTCTCATTCTAGCTGTAAGGTGTGGAAAACGTCCTTAATAAGGAATAACTGCCCCTCTTTGGGTAGTTACTTAGTTGTCATCATACACACACACACACACACACACAAACCCCCAAAACAAACAAGTAAAACACTACTTGAAAAAAAATGATTAATCTTATATGGTTTTCCTTCAGAGCCTTGCTGACTGCTTTTGTCTAATATTTTAAATAATGAAAATGTGCAGTCAGATGGAAGAACTGGGTCATCATAGCACTATGGGAATACGTCAGCCACAGGACTGAAGTTTAATAAACTTTTATATTTAGGACTGTGTTTAATAATGAATTCAACATATCAGTTCATAATAAAGCATATATCCATGTGTGTCCATAATACTCATGAGCACGTGCAACTGTCCCCTGAAGACAACTGGAAAGAAAGACTTAATGGCAGAAAATGTCAACAGCACAGTCGGATGCCATGGAAAATATTCTCAGTTGCGTGTTGATTTGAATTTCTAGAATAGTAATCAAATCCTTTATTTTTCAGTTTCTCTCAATATTAACTAACCTGCTTGGAAGCACATATTTCCCATGTCTATTTGCTAGCAAAAACACCAGTATGACAGCTGGGTATTTGCTTAAATGACCTTGGAGCAGCCTGACTGATTACAGCTAACTGGTAGGTACTTGCCATGTTTTTTCTTGCAGTACAGTTGTCCCCTGCAGAAAGATGTCTCCTGTGAAACCTGCATAGAAAGACATACGTTTCCAATTATTGTTTTGATGGTGTTAAGGTATCACATTCCTTTGCCTGCGTAAAACAGGGGCATTAAGTTCAGGTTTTTAATGCCAGATGTCTGGTGTGCTGATATTTTCTGTTGGAAAGGGAGGAGTTTGTGCAATGGCTTTTTGAGTGACAGCTGTTTCTCCAGACTGCAGTGAAATTAAACTATTTGTCACTGAAAAAAAAGAAAAAAGATTAAAAAAAAAAGATAAAAAAAGGAAAAGAAGTATTAAAATGTAGAATACGTGCTTTTTATCTTCCATTTTGTGCACATTGAGCTTAGGCTGATGTAGCCAATACAAAGAAACAATATAAACAGGTGTTGAATAAGCCTTCCAAAGTGTTCCTAAGACATCCTAAGCCTTCCAGGTTACTAGCAAGAGGATGTATATAGTCTCTAACTGCATCGGGGGAGGTTTAAATTGGACTTTATGAGGAATTTCATCAAAGAAAGGGTAATTAGACATTGAAATGGGCTGCCCAGGGAGGTGGTAGAGTCACCATCCCTGGAGGTGTTTAAGGAAAGACTGGATGTGACACTTGGTGCCATGGCCTAGTTGACAGGGTGGTGTTCGGTCATAAATTGGACTCCATAATCTCAGATGTCTTTTCCAACCTAATTGATTCTGTGATTCTGTAGGCTGATGTGTGATTAAACTACAGTCTCTGTGACAGCAATTGTAATTTCATCATTATAGTGGGTTAGGGAAAAAAAAAAAAAAAAAGAACAAACACGTGTATTTCTGATCTTCGCGAAGGGCAGGAGCCAGCACAGCACCGCAGAACCGGGGGCACTGAATTAGCCCTCAGGTAACCCGTGTGCGGGGCTGGGCGGGTGGGGGGAGCTCCCCGATCACTGCCCGGGCCGCTCCCTGCTCTCCGGGGGTGACCCTCCAGCCCTGCCCGGGCCGGTCCCTACTCTGTGGGGGTGACCCCCCAGCCCTGCCCGGGCCGGTCCCGGCTCTCCGGGGTGACCCCAGCCCTGCCAGGGCGGTCCCGGCTCTCCGGGTGACCCCAGCCTGCCGGGCCAGTCCTGCTCTCCAGCCGTGACAGGAGGCCCCGCCCGGGCCCGGCGCAGCTTCCGGGGCCGGCGCGGCCGTTCCGGGCGGTGCGGGAGCCATGGGGGTGACGCGGCAGAAACACGCCAAGAAGATCATGGGCTTCTACAAGCACAGCTTCCAGTTCCGCGAGCCCTTCCAGGTGCTGCTGGACGGCACCTTCTGCCAGGCCGCGCTCCGCAACAAGATCCAGATCCGGGAGCAGCTGCCCGGGTACCTGGGCGGCGCCGCTCAGCTCTGCACCACGCGGTACGGGGCGGGCGCTGTGGGGAACCTGCGGGGCGGTGGCGGCTCCTCGGAGACCCGGCTGCCTTTCCCAGGGTGGCGGGAACTGCGGGGTCAGGGATAACCCCGCTGTGCGAGGAAGGACCGGGTGGGTGTCCTCCCCACCCCAGCGTGTTCTTGGCGAAGTGGGAACAGAGGAATTACTGCCTGGCTGGAGCTGCAGTATGCCAGTGCGGGGTTGTTTGCAAAGTAGCTGTTCCCAGGGGAGGACAAGGATGTGCTAGAGAAACACGTGGAAGTGAAGCATGCACAGTACGCGTCGAAGTTGCCTTTGTTTTTGCTTGATTATAAACATTGTATATATTAAATTTTCCGTCACTTGTATTTCTGCAATGATGGAATAGCCAACTACCCATCATGGAGGCAAGTAGTGAAAATACCGAGAAGATGCATGCCTAGGCTCGAAAAACACACTGATCAATCTTGCACAGCGCACAGAACTGGCCTGTACTTCTAAACAGTATAAAGTATCAAGTCGTGTCCATAGCTGTGAGAGGTTAAGGAATGGCTTTGACCCAGACTGTGTTCCTGTCCTGCCTAAATGCCACTTCTTACTCCTTTCAGCAGTATTTGTTGGTCTTTTTGACCAGCATTCACTTAGGGCAGCTGAATCTGCTGCCCTTCCCTCATCCATCAGCACTGTAACCCTGTCATAGAAGGCCACCATATTTTTCACAATTTATCTTTAATGAAAAGGTGTTGGCTGTCAGAAGTTAACTCCATGTTTTTCATGTGCCTTAGTGTATTTTCCAGGAGGATCTGCTCCATGATCTTACCAGGCACAGAGGTGAAACTGGCCTGTTGTTCCCCAGATCTTTATTTCAATTTTAAAATATAAATTAAATGTTGAAATTTAATAATAATTTAATAATACATTTTTAGAAATTATTTGTTAAGTAATAGTTCATATGCTAGGTAATGTCCAAACATAATTTTAAGGACTCAGCGTATTTAGTGATGTGAAATATTTTTAAGTCATTTAATATAACTTAACAAGTTAATTACTTGTTTACAACCAAGGAAACCTTGCTGATGTCTTCAGATGGGCTACTGCTTTCAGATTCCTGGGTACCATTTGCAAATCATAGAACCTGAACAACTGGGCATTGCTCATTCTTAAATAACTCACGTCAGCCTTCTGGTATTATAAAAAATATGAGTTCATTTTTTTGTTTAGAAGTCATTGTTTCTTTTGGTTTTCAGATGTGTTATAAAAGAACTGGAATCATTGGGGAAAGCACTGTATGGAGCAAAATTAATTGCCCAGAGATTTGAAGTTCGAAAGTGTTCTCACCACAAAGATCCTGTGAGTGGTTCCACCTGTTTACTTTCCATGATTGAAGACGGCAACCCTCATCACTTCTTTATTGCTACACAGGTAAAAGCTCATGGGAAACATTAACTCCATTTCATTTCAAGTGATGCTTTGATACCTAAAGATAAGGAAGCCTCCACTGACCTCAATTATGAGATTTTTACATAGTTTGTGGGAATTAATCATGTAAAACCTTACTCCCTCTTAAATGTATTTGATAATTATGAAACAGGGAATCTTTTCTCTTACTAGAATGACTAGATATTTTTACCTTATAGGAATATTGCTTAGTTTAGCAGAAAGTGTAGAAAACATACTGACTACGTACTGATGTAAGAAAACAACTCATGAATGTTAATTTGCATATTGTTTGTGTGTGCATTCCCTTCCCTGAACTCTTTTCACAGTAGTCTGAAAAGTGAAATTAGTGTCAAGCATCCATATAAATTCAATTTTAAGAAATTTTGGACTAAAGAATAAATAACTATAGAAATGAGAAAGGCATTTTTTTCCTGGGTTTGTTATTGGGACTGTATGTATAAATGATACACAATATATATAAAAAGGTTTATAGTAGAATTCTGTATAGTTACGTAAGATAAAAGAATTTAAGATAGTTTGTGGTAGAAGAAGTTATGTTACTTCTTGTGGAGTGGTGGTCTGCATACCAGTGGACTGGGACTTTTTCCTCAAAAAATGCATATGTGCGTATACATGAAGGTAAAAAGGAAATGTTGATAAATTTTCCATCAGAAGTACAGTTAATTGGGAGAGAAATTGAAATTTAAATTGCTCTGAAAGGCACTGCCGTGTAAATCTGCTAGATTAAGTTTCTTTTTCATAATGTAATTTATCTTCATAGTTTTGTATTAAAAGTAGGTGCATTTGAATTGCAAATATAATTTAATCCCAAAATGTTGACTAAAGTATTTAATTTTGCAGGACCAGGACTTATCAAACAAAGTGAAAAAGAAGCCTGGTGTTCCTCTCCTCTTTATTATTCAGAACACGATGGTGTTAGACAAACCTTCTCCTAAATCTTTGGCATTTGTTCAAAAGTTGCAGACAAACCAGCTTGTTCCAGAGTACCAAAAACAAAGTATTGTGGAGCTTAAAGAAAAAGAAGGACTAGCAAAGCAAGAAGGTGAAAAGAGGAGAAAACGCAAAAGGGCAGGTGGCCCCAATCCGCTCAGCTGTCTGAAGAAAAAAAAGAAGAAAACACAGGAGGATCAAGAACCTTCTGCTCAAAAGAAGAAAAGAAGAAAAAGAAAGCGAAATAGAGTTAAAGCAGAAGCCGTGCCGGCAGTGCAGAAGAATGAAGGAGAATAAGCCCATCTATGTAAACAACACAGGGCTTGAACACGGTTTGAACTTTGCAAAAAGAAAGATTATTATGCAGTCACGTGAAATTGAGTTGTTAATATTAAAACTTACTTTTTTTAGGTGGTCTGCTTGTTACTGTATCTTACAATTTGCGGGATTGTCCTAATAATTTGTTCTGTTATTTAGTAATTGGGTTTGTGACAAAATATTGAGGAACCCTCATGTTTCATTATTCTCTCCAGCATCTTGGTTCCTGTCAGAATTCACATGATATGTAGCAATTCTTTAGAAATGCTTCTTGGCTTCCATATGGATTTTGGTGGGACATTAGACTTCTTTCTAAATCAAGGTTGCTATTCTTATTAAGACTAGTTTTGACAATTAGTCTGTTAGATAATATGAAATTGACCTAAAATAACACTTATTTATCCTTATTGTTTGAATACAAAAGTTAACTCTTGCAAAGTGACCAGGCGCCTTCAGAAGTCACATCCAGACTGAATTACTCTGTAAATGCCATGTGGACCTATATGTCTGTTGTTCTTGATCTTCATTTATTAAGAAGATCACAGAGGTGCAATTGTGTTGATATTTCTGAAAATATAATGGCATCTCTGGTCTGTCTATTTCATCTGTAGTTTATTCTTAATTTTTAAATAGGAAGAATACAACGTGAAAGTGCTGAATCAAAGCGCTGGCTAACACCTAATGCTGTCACAGTATAGCACAGCTGTGCAGGGGTCCTGAAATACAGGACAGCTGACAGTGATGGGACTCAGGCCCTGCTGTGTGTTTCACTGTTCCGTGAGGTGATGAACATAACAGAACGGGGTTGGAGGAGAGTCGTGGTTTAACCCCAGCCAGCAGCTCAGCCCCACACAGCCACTTTCTCAACTGCCCCTACACTGAGGTGGAGAGAATCTGGAGAGTAAAAGTAAGAGAACTTGTGAGTTGTGATAAAGACAGTTAATTAGGGAAAGCAAAAGCCACACATAAAGGAAGGCCAAACAAGGAATTCATTCACAACTTCCCCTGGGTAGGCAAGTGTTCAGCCATCCCCAGGAAAGCAGGGCTCCATTGTGTAATAGTGACCTGGGAAGACAAACACTGTCACTCTGAACATCCTTCCACCTTCTTCCCCAGCTTTATATGCTGAGCATGATGCCATATGGTCTGGAATATCCTTTGGGTCAGCTGGGATCAGCTGTCCCAGCTTTTTTGGCTCCCAGTTCCTGGTGCACCGCAAGGCCTACTTGCTGGTGGGATGAGAGGCAGAAAAGGCCTTGACCCTGTGTAAACACTTCTCAATGACAACAAAAACATCCTGACACTGTTTTCAGCACAAATCCAAAACCACAGCTACAGTGAAGAAAACTCTGTCCCAGCCTAAAGCAGCACAAGGAAGGAGTTTCCAAATCTGTTTCAAGTACCCAATATTCTTTAGTAGCTATTGCTTCCTATGCCTGTTTACATGTTTGGTGGCATTAAGTCAGAAGAGTGACTGAGATGACATAATAGAGGGGTATGCTCTGTAGCACTTGCTGTGGCATAGGTGTGCTCTCACAGTATTCCCAGTGATCACTAGCCAGATTTTTACCTTTTCTCAGTGCATTTCTTCTAAACCAAGATGTAGTTCTTAAAAGGAAAGCTTTCTATTTATTCATCTACATAAGTTTAAGCCACGTGCCCTAAACAATTCCTCAGCCTCTGTATCATATGTTTGCAAGGTAGTTTTTCTGTGCATTGTCTGCACACGTTCTTAAATGTCTGGAGTACACAGCTGTACTATGTGATGCTTCCTGTTGGCCTTTCAGATTATATGGACAGCTGTTTCATGGAGTTTGAGAAACCAGCTTGAGTGATGGGAGTTAGCCAGTCTTAGCAGAAACTGCAGGGCCATTCCCCAGAATCTGCAGTGTATCCCTCTGGCCAGCACAGGAAGGTGCACAGGACGCTGCTGCTGTAGCCCCAGTCCAAGCTGTTCCTCCCAACATGGCCATTAGTAGTGGACTGTGCCTTTACTGTTCCATACAAGACCACATGCATCTTGGGAATGGACTGTGAGAGACAGAAGCCAAAGTGAGTCCTGAGGAGAAATTTAGTAACTCCTAAAAATATCTTACTGCAGCATATTTGTTTAATGTACATTGCCTTTCTCAAGCTGTCATAACCCTTTCGCCTTCACTCATTTGAGCACAGTCCCATGTTAGTGTAGTTTTACTTCTCATTCTCCTGTAAATATTGCTTGTAATTCTTCCCCTTCCCCAAACCCACCCACAGACATCACTGCTGTAAGTAAAGCTTGGAGCAGACAGAGATGGTTCAGCATCAAAATCTCATTGCGAGTCAAAAGTATATTAAAACCCAATGACCTTACTAAAAATATTGTTTTTAAAAATAGAGAGGAGAACCTTAATTATTTGCAGTAGTCCCTTTCACTGTAGTTAAAACATAAAGCTTAAATCCACTTATAGATAGACAAAACCCTAATGCCTGAAAAAAAAAAAAAAGTATTTTAACAGTCATCTAATGACTCCCACCTTAAGGATTTTAAAACAGTATTTATCTATGTTTCCTTAGCATTTTGTTAACACAAACTGAGTCATGGTGTTGCCATTGGGAAGAACTGGAATGTAAAGGGAGTGAGCTCTTAAGAGAAAGGCTGTAAAATTTGTCTGCACAGCTCAGCTCTCCTCCAGGAAGGTAAATAACTTGTCTGTCGTCTTTGGGAGAGAGCTCCTGCCCAGGCAACAAGCAATCAGACTGTGTGTTTTGTTACCATTTTGAAATACGAAAAAAAAAAGCCCACCCAGGCCAAACTGACTGGCTGTATTTATACCATTAAATCAGCAGCACTCGGAGCTGCCTGAGAGCCCGAGTACAGCCGGACAGGCTGGCTCTGCCCGGGCTGGGCTCTGCTCGGAGCACACACCACCAGCGTGATTGCTGGAGAATGGCCCCCTGGGGATGCTCGCAGGCTGTGCTGCCTCTGCCTGCCAGGGTTTGGTGAGGTTTAGCTGGCCCGGGCTATAAACCCTGACGAGTCCCTCTAGTAATTCAGGGGTGCGAGTCACTGGGAGCATCCCTAGGCCTATGGAAAACACCACTGTGGAAGTACCTGTAGAGCTAACTTTGCTGTTCTAGGTGTTCGCTCCGTGTTCTGCCCAAAAAGCCACTGCCTTATTTAACAATAAATGATCTGGAGTTGTGGCCACAACTATAGTATAGACAGGATTTCAAATATAACTTTTCAAATGAAGTTTGGGATCATTTTGCTATAGGGTGTCAGAGGGACTGGTTTCAGTTTTGAAACTACAGAAAGTCAGAAGTAAAGTAAAACAAGTATGAACAAAAAGTTTTGGGGGGGCTATTGATTTCTTCTTTCCTCATCATAAATATATACCCCAAATCCTAGGCAGTACTTCACTAAATCTTTCTTTGAAAAGAGGGAAATAACCAGCGTTGTAGAGTACTATGTATGCTACATGTGCAGAGTGATAGAAGAAGAAAACAATATGTCAACCACAGTCTGCAGGGCATTAATGCTGAATTTAGGACAGAGCTTCATCTACCAGCAGCAGAAGATATTTACCTAGACTGCCTGCCAGTTCAACTGGCTGGATTTGTATGTTGGTGTGATCCAGTATTGTACAATAAATCACTCCCTGAGCATCTGTTAATGACACTAAATAGATGAGTTAATTAGAAGCTTCTGGAACCTGGGATGTTTATGAATCATCAAAGTAAATATGAATACGGTATGACTTGAAGAATAAATAAATCCTGGTGGGGAAAAGAAAATAGGATGTCCAGAGCAGTTCTGCTCATTTGTTTTCAGCTGGTACACTGTGAATGACTTCTGCATCAGCTTTAGAGTGTTCCTGCAGTTTCTTGAGCATGTTCTGTCAGAGACAAGATGAAGAACGTTGGAACAATACCGTGATTTATACACATTGCATCTTTCAGATAGAAGTTTCACAAGCAGCTACTGTATATTTCATACCTCTGTGTGGGCGTAATATCTCACACAGGGAGCAGCCGGAGATACGGAAATGAACAAATAAGAGCCCCAGCAGGTGTTATCATTTACAATTTAAGGGAGAAAGATTGCAGTGTTCAGAGGGAGAATGACGGAAAGCAAAAGTTTTTGTACCCAGAGAATCAGGAGTGAGAGAGACACTGCACCTTGTGATTTAGGAATGGTCTAACTAATTCCAGGAGAGGGGTTTGTGATGTATTTCTGATAATTATTATGTCTGTGCACTCTGAGCCCCAGATTTGTCTCAGAGAGCTCAGCTGTCTGCCCACAGAGGCAGTCATTTTGTAAAAGTTGCTACAGCTTGTTATGGAAGAGACAGGCTGGGCTCTCTCAGGGGGACTTTATTTTCTGATTTCTTCTCCTGTGGTTGAGAGGGAGAGCATGCAGCTGTGCTCTGTGTATGGATACAGGGAAACAATGAAGCTGTTAACAAGGGTCCAATTAAAAGCTACCCAGAGCCAAGGAAAAAAACAGACAGTAGTCACTGGGATTTAAAGAAATCAAGGAAGAAAGAAAAGGTTTCTGAGTGTTAACTGGAGGAAAAAATTGGTCAGCAGCAAAAGGTGAACCAGAAATGGCTCAGCAGTCAAGGAGAGTAGGGAACAAAATAATAAAACATAAGCAAATTTAAAAAAAAATCATTCCAATTCCCTTAAGAAAACCTCATTGTTTTTGTGACTCAGTTTCTGCCTTTTTAAAACAAGGAGCTGGACTGACTAAACCACTCACAGATCCCGTGTTGATAGCCCAAGAGTTCCTGCAGAATGTAAGTCTCATGATGACAAACACTCCGTGTCTTTATGGTTTTTCAGTATCACACACTTTGCAGCACTAGCAGGTTTGCAGCCAAATCATTCTGCTGTAGAGCTTGCCTAACACTGCACGTGGCTCACTGCCCAGCACACAGATATTACATCCAGGAGCAACCGACTCATGCCATTATTGATAGGGTGAATCCATGCAGTTAATTGCTCCTGTGTGTACTCACAGCAATAGTCTGGGATAGCCAGCAGTTCTGGCTGTGGAGATCATGACCCAGAGCATGGTATGGGGTTTTTTTAAAGTCTAATCTCCTTCCAGGAGCTCAGTAGGGAACCTCAAAAGTTTCTTATTGCAGTCTCGACTTCTAGTTGATCCAGAATGATCATTTTGCCATGTTAATTCCTTTGGGGCCAAAGATGCTACTGATTTGACTCTTCAGGGTGGTTACTTTTTCAGACTGTCTTGGAGAAACACTGAGGAAATTTTTCGCTCTGGGAATTGGCACCCATTTCAACAAGCAGGTTTTCAGAAAAAATGAAGAGAGCAGTTTTCTAGAATTCCTGGCTCCCTCTTTTCACCCTGACCTCTCTTTCAGCTCCCAAGAATACAAGCAGGGCTCTTCTGAAATGGTCCAAAAATCTGTCTCACCCAGCATCATGCCTCCATTAGTGTCTGAAAGCTGTTCCTTAGGAGTATTATGAAAATTGACAAAACATCTTTTTGGTGCTTCCCCAAATGACTTTCCAACTTTCTGACAATTTCTCAGGGAGTTCCTGACCCCAGAAAAATATATTTTATAACAGCAGGCAATGAATCTCT